TTATGTCATCTGCAGGAAAAATGGATGGACTTTGAGAACCTTATGTTAAGTGAAACAACTCAAACTCAAAGTCAAGGGGCATATATTTTTTCTCATATGTGGAAACGAGATAGGAAAAAGGAAAAGAAAAGTATGTGTGTGTGGAGAGAGGGAATCTCATAAAAATTAAAGGAATATCAGTAGAGTAGAGGAAAAGGAACCAGGAGAGGAAAGAGAGGAGGGAAAGCACAATTACTAGAAAAGATACTGAACAAATTATATTGTTAATTGTGTGCAAGTACAAATACGTAACAATGATTCTCACCATTATGCCTAAGGCACCGATAAAAATGTGGAAGATTTTTGGTTATATGTGTCGACATAATAAAAAAAGAAAATTTGAAAAGTAATCTTTAAAAAGGAAGTCTATTTCACTAAGATCAGAAATAAGAATGTCTACTCTCAGTATTTCTATTTAACTATAGAACTAAAAGTCCTTGCCAGAGCAATTACACAAGAGAAAGAAATGAAAGATATCCAAAGAAAGGAAGCAAAGTATGAAATTGTTGCTGTTTGCTGACAATGTGATCTTTTTTCTTAATTTTTTTTAGTTGTTGATGAACATAATACACCCATTTTATTTACTTATTTTTATGAGGTGCTGAGGATTGAACCCAGTGCCTCATGCATGCCAGGCAAGGGCTCCATCACTGAGCTACAACCCCAGCTCCAATAATGTGATCTTACAAATGAAAACTTAGATTTCATCCCCAACTGTTACAACTAATATTTGAATGTATTAAGTTGCAGGATACAAACCAACACACAAAAATCATTGGGGTTTCTATATTCTAATAATGAAGTAAAGAAAACAGCCCCATTTATATATTCTAATAATTAAATAAAGAAAACAGCCTCATAGCTAAATTGAAACATGAATAAAATATTTAAGAATAAATTTAACCAGGGAGGTATCAGTTACACTAAAAATTATAAAAACTGATGAAAGAAATTGAAGAAGACACAAGTAAGTAGAAAGATATTCCACATTCATGAATTGGTATAATTTTTTTTTAGAGAGAGAGAGAGAGAGAGAGAGAGAGAGAATTTTTAAATATTTATTTATTTATTTTTAGTTATTGGCGGACACAACATCTTTGTTTGTATGTGGTGCTGAGGATGGAACCCGGGCCGCACTCATGCCAGGAGAGCGTGCTACCGCTTGAGCCACATCCCCAGCCCCATGAATTGGTATAATTAATATTATTTTTGGGGGGGGGTTGCTGGGGATTGAACTCAGGGGCACTTGACCAATGAGCTACATCCCAGCCCTATTTTGTATTTCATTTAGAGACAGGGTCTCACTGAATTTCTTAGCGCCTCACTTTTGCTGAGGCTGGATTTGAACTTGCAATCCTCCTGCCTCAGTGTCTTGAGCTGCTGGCATTCTAGGCGTGTACCTCTGTGCCCATCTAATTAATATTATTAAAATATCCATAACTACTCAAATCAATATATAGATTCAATGCAATTCTTATGAAAATTCCAATGGTATTTCTCACAGATATAGAAAGAACAATCCAAAATTGTTCATGGAAACACAAAAGACCCCAAATAACCAAAACAAAATCTTAAGCTAAAAGAACAAAGCTGGAGGCATCATACTATTTGATTTCCAACTGTATTACAAAGCTATCATACTTAAAACAGCATGATCTTCGCATAAAAACAGACTCATCAACCAATGGCTCAGAATATACAGCATTTCTAGTTGTGCATTTATAGTCAGTTGATTTTCAACAAAGGTCTCAAGAACACTATGATGGAAAAATGACAGTTTCTTTAATACAGGGTGGTGGGAAAACTGGATCACATACAGAGGAATGAACTTGGACTCTCATCTCACATCCTATGGGAATCAACTCTTAAAGGATTAAAGATCTAAATGTAAGACCCGAAACTATAAAAATATTAGAAGGAAGCATGCAGTAAAATTATAAGACATTGGTTTAGGTAATGATTTTTTAAAATCTGACTCCAAAAGCTGAGGTAACCAAAGCAAGATAAATGGGATTACATCCAACTAAAAAGCACAGCAGAGGAAACAATTTGCAGAGTGAAGAGCTAACTTATAGACCAGGACAAAATATTTGCAAGGTGTACATCTGAGAATGAATTACTGCCCTAAATATATAAGGAACTCAAACAACCCAATTGTAAAAAAGCAAATAACTAGATTTAATTTTTATGTATTTTTTGGTGGCACTGGGGATGAAAACCAGAGGTGCTTTACCACTGAGCTACATCCACAGCCCTTTAAGTTTTTTTATTTTGTTTTGTTTCAAAATGGAGTCTTGTTATGTTGCTGAGACTGCCTTCAAACTTGTAATCCTCCTGCCTCAGCTTTCCAAGTTGTTGGTGTTACAGGCGTACACTACCATGCCTGGTGAATAACCTGATTTTACAAAGGGCAAACCAGGAACAGCAATATATGCTTATAGTCCCAGCACTCAGGAGGATGAAGCAAAAGAATTGCTTAAGCCCAGGAGTTTGAGACCAACTTGGACAATACAGTAAGACCCCCTCTCCCCAACTATTAAAAAAGAGCAAGGGGCCAATTTGTTTTTTCAAAAGGAGACATAAAAATGACCAACAGATAAATGAAAAAAGAAAAAAGCTCAATAACATTAATCACCAGGGAAATGCAAATTAAAACCACAATGAGATATTACATCACACCTGTCAGAATTGCTGTTATAAAAAAGATAAATGCTAAGCATTAGAGAGGATGTTAAGAAAAGGAAATCTTTGTACATTAGTGGTGAGAAGATAAATTAATACAGCTATCATGGAAGACTGTATGGAGGTTCTTAAAAAAAAAAAAAGAAAAATAGAATTTCCATAAGATCCAGCAATCCTACTTCATAGTATATACCCAAAGGATCCGAGTTCAGGATGTTGAAGAGACACCTGCATTTCCGGGTCCACTGAAGCACTATTTGCAATAGCCAAGATATGGAAGCAACCCAGGGGTCCATTGTTGGATGAATGGTATGTATTATCAATGGAATACTATTTAGCCTCAAAAAAGAAGGAGAGTCTGTCATTTGTGACAGAATAAATGAACCTGGAAGATATTATTCTGGGTTTAACAAGTCAGGCACAGAGACAAATACCTAAAGCCAATGACTGTCTCCTTTCTAAGCTCCAACTCCAATAGACTAATTGTTTCTAAATGCCTAAAAGAGATCTCCACAGACTATCTGACCACTTTCTTAAATTTAATGTCCAAAAATAGACCTGTCTAAATACCACATGATGTCACTTATATGTGGAATCTAAAACAACTGAACTTTTTGAACCAGAAAGGAGAATGCAGTTTCCAGAGGCACATGGGGAGGGGGATTGGGAGGAGATACTGGTCAAGGGGGACAAAATTTCAAATAGACAGAGGTATTAGTGGGTTTTTTTTTGCAATATATTTCACAGCATGGTTACTGTAGTTATTAACATTACATTTCAAAATTGCTAAGAGAATACATTTCAAATGTTCTCATACACACACAAAAAACCCCTGAAATGTATTTGAGGTGATGAATATGTTAATTAGCTTGATTTAATCATTTTGCATTGTGTATGTATTTATACACATATAAATATATGTAATACATAAAAATAGCATCACTTTATACCCCATAAATGTATAGTTATAATTTATGAGTTTATAATAAAATAAAAAATTAATAAATAAAATTAAAATCTTTACTTTTAAAAAAATTTTTAAACAAAAGTCTAATTCACTGTGACTTCTTAATCACCCGCATTTGCTAATAGGTTTTTACTCTAACTTGGGAGAGAGGATGAGAAGTTTTTGATGACAACCAATATGGTTCATTGCTATTGTTACTTTTAATTCCTATGAGCATATTTGGTTCAAGCAATCTCTATGGTTGTTTCATTCCACAAATTACACTGTTTGCCAAGCTGATTCTGGTGGGCACAGTGGGCTTTCTCAGTACACCAGGGCTCATGGTAGCCTCTAGATATTTAAGCTCCTAGTTTTATGATGTTGCAAAGCAGCTTGAAATAAGTGCTATGAGCTATACTGGCTGTGTAGGAGCCCATTCGTATAAGTGTCTCTCAAATCCCAAGAGGCAGGGCACTGAGAAGCAAGACATAACCTGCCCCCAGCCCTAAACTTCCAAAAGCTCAATTTCCTTTCATATTCATTGGTATTTCCAGCTCTTCTAGAAAGCCAAAATCAGACTTGGAGCTAAGGCTAAGGATCAAAAATCAAAGATGCCTTTATTGACTCCATTTCCTCATCAGTCAAGAAAGAGTGCTGGACTAGGTTGTCTCCACAGTCCTGCTTTATTGACTAAAGGCATCCAAGCAGGTGGGCAGTGCACATACATGCAACCTTGCCATCAGAGCACCCAGGTGAGGCCAAGTGCAGAAGGGCCGGTGGGGAGTCGCTCCTTGTCTAAGCTCCATCTGCACAAGCTGGTACGGCTGGGGCTGCACGTACTGTGTTGGCAGCTCCATCCCTGCCCCCTCCCAGTTTACAGGTAGGCAATGATCAAATGGTCCTTCAAGTCACACAATCTACCTTTTTTTTTTTTTAAGATTAAGAAGGGACCCACATATCTAATAATAATAAAATAATTCTCCAAGATTAAAGGTCCAATAGGTGATTTGAGAACTCAGAGATTTGTTCTAAACCTAGGATACGGATATCAAAGAATTGCCCTTAATATTTTAGAAAATGTGCATATATTCTTTTTTCCAGAATCTCTGTCACTCAGAACAATTATTAGTTAAGAGTTTAAGAATATAGGATGATAATATTATCTAATCTAGCATCATTATAAAAGAAAAGGAGAGAAATGGGAGAACAAAGGGAAAGGGCATCCACACAGAACACAGAAACTGAAAATGATGCTCGGTTCCCAGAACAATGCCCAAGCTTGCTCTGCACACCCTCGTTCCCTAAAATCCTCTGTGGCTCAATGTTCACTCACCTGCCTTTCTTAGACATCTCGTGCACTTCTCTTCCTGGCCAGTGCACTCTGCTTTCAGTGGCCAAAACCCATCCCCACCACAAAAGGAAGATACCAAATTTCATATTCTGGACAGCCAACATGGGTTTCAAAATCCAAACACGTCTCTCAAGAAACCACAAAAAGGAAACGGATGTTCTTTTCTCTCTTAAGACATTATTGGTCTGTTCATTATTGGAAGGATGTTTACTCATGCAAAAAAAAAAAAAAAAATCAACCGGCAGTATGTAATCTGGCAAGCAGGAGAAAGCAATTTCCACTAAACCTATAAATCCTCCTACGTCAGATGTCAGGGATTTTCTGAACTGAGGTTGAATTCCTGTGTCCCTGGGGAACAATTATTTTGGCTGGTCTAAATTAGTTCATCATCAAATGGGGCAAATACGTTAGTCAACGTCTGTATTTTCTTGTCCATTGCATAGAAGGAAATAAAAACGGACCACAGCAATTTCCAAAATGAAAAAGTCCAGAGGTGCTGAACTGCTTCATATGCCATGTTAATAGCTCCTCCCCAGATCTATTTTAAGCTTCCAGCCATTACTATTTGCTTTGCTGAGGGTGGATTTGGACAGCTCTCGGCCCCCACTCCTTCTTGTGGCTGAATCCCTAGGACCTCAGACATTGATCAGCACCTGGGCAGGTCATCTCTGTAGATATTGGGAGGGTGAGCAGAGTTTTTAAAATCCTTGTTCTGCACAGAAAGAACTAAATTTCCTTGTCAGTTGCATTATTCTTACTGCAAACCTCATTGTACTTTTCACATTTGAAAAATGCCAGTAATAAATGAACTGTAGCCATCAAGTCTGTGTTAGCTACAGATAGTTTTTCTTTTCCTTTGATGCTTGCTCAAAGACTCTGCTCTAATCTGTAGGCCCGAGTTTGTGTCTTCATCAAAGGACAGTCTCAGAGCCTTGCGGGAGAGGACTGTACTCTGTACTCCAGACCACTGCCTCTTCAAAGCTGAACTTTGAGTCTGTATTGGCAGACTTGAGTCACGATTCCCAGAACTCTGTAGTTGAAAAGCAGACAGTTTCACAAAACTACTAACCCAAGATCCAGCAGAACAAGAATTAATTGTTGTGCTTTGGATACGGTTTGAACATGTTCTCCAGTGGTTCGTGTCCTGGAAGTTCAGTTCCCAGCATGGTGGTGCTAAAGTGGTGGAACTCTTAAGAGGTGGGGCCTAGTGCCAGGTAATTAGTTTATATGGAGGTTCTGCCTTCAGAAGGAATTAAAGGGACCCTATTAGTGAGAAAGTTGTTATGAAAAGAGCAAGCCTGGCCCCTGATATTCTCTCTCTCTCTCTCTCTCTCTCTCTCTCTCTCTCTCTCTCTCTCTCTCTCTCTCTCTTTTCTTTTCTTTC